CCCCCCCCCCTTTAAAGCTAGGACAGACCTTTCTCCCAGGCTCCAGGAGGCTGCCCCGAGATTGGCTGTGCTATGCAGTGCACTGTGCCCACCTCTGCTGCTTGGACTCAGGGGTGAGGTCCGAACTGTCCTCACCCCTTTGGCCCTTTGGGTTGGGGAAGCAGCGTCCTTTCTCTTTGGGAACTAATGAGAGTTCGTCTCTCATGTAACCAGCAACACTTTTGCTCAGACTCTCAGCAAGCAATCCAATTAAAAAGTGGAAATGAAAAGCGGCCACCTTTTTCTTTTTCTCTCCCTGGGCTACCTCAATCCTTAGCCACCTTGAGGATTTTCTAGGAACAGCTTAAATAAGCCATGGCCTGCTGCAAGGAGGCCCACAGTTCCGAGAGAAACTCACCGAGCTCACTTGCGAAAAGCAGGAGGCCGGTGTGGTCCTGGGTGGCCCGGGCTTCTTCAGAATCCTGACCCACTACGTCAACTCAACGACGTAAGAAACATCCAGACCTGTAGAGAGTTTTTATGAGTTTATTTGAGCCAAACTGATGACATATGCAGGGAGCAAGATGTCAAATGCTCTCCCTTTATGTGTATTTTTAAAAGTCCCTTTCCTCAAAATGCTTTATTTTCAACTATCCAGAAACTGTCTAAATATTGATGACATTATTTGAGCAAGGTGTTCTACTGCCTTTTTCTGGAAAATTGTTTAATAAGTATTCAAATCCGTGATGTCAGTGATGCAAACGAACAATGCTTCCTCAGCTGTGCAGTTTTGCCTTACACAACCTGCCCAACCATACACAACAGTCCTGGTGAAAACCTAACTTTTAAATGTTGCATTTATACCAAAAGAAATATTACCTTGAATTATACCAGTTACCACTATGAGCTGTTGAAGCAGATACTTCTCTCATGAAAAATAACTGTATTGTTTATAAATTTATATTATGCTTATTTTCACTCAATATAGCTTTAAAATGTTTCCATGTCCTTAAAAACATAACTTTAAATGATATATTAAATTCCACAATACTAGTACTATAATTCACTTCACCTTTCCTTTTATGTGGAACATTTTAGTTATTTAGAAGTTATTGCTATAATAAGAATTTTCTCTCCATAGGTGGGTATATAGATAGATGACAGATAAATAGGTAGGAAGGTAGGTAGGTAGATACATAGACAGATAGATACTGAGATATAGTGAAATAAGGATATTTTTAAATTTCATTGGGAGAGATTTTAAGGAAAAAAAAATTCTAGTACAGACAGTGAAAATCTTTAGACTGTTTCCAATAGAGTTGTTTCACTTTAAATTTCTAATGATGGTGCCCGGCCAGTGTGGCTCAGCGGCTGAACATTAACCTAAGATCCAGGAGATCCCAGTTTGATTCCTAGTCAGGGCACATGCCCAGGTTGTGGGCTTGATCCCCAGTATGGGGCATGGAAGAGGCATCTGATCAATGACTCTCTCATCATTGATGTTTCTGTCTCTCTCTCTCCCTTCCTCTCTCTGGAATCAATAAAGATATATTAAAATAATAATAATAATAAATAAAATAAAGGGCGGAGTCCTTGCCTAACTTCAATAAATAAATAAATAAATTTCTGATGATGGTAAATAAAATTGTCTGGTTTTTCTTACACTGGCCTGTACTGAATTGTCTTTTTAAAATTTTTGCTAAATTGATAAAAAGCAAATTGTGAATGTCATCTTATATTATTGATTTGAATCTCCTCTCTAAAGATACCAAAAAGATATATTTTAAGTACTTGAAAATGTAGTCAATGACAATTTTGTTTACTTTAGTAATATCTTTATAGAATTGTAAAACTGTTGTGTTGAGTTTTGGGTGGTTTGTTTTTGGATGTGTGTGTCTGTGTGTGCGTGCAGTATGGTTGCAGGAAGACAGGAGTGCAGTTGGTCATTCATAGATTCTTATGACTATTTTTGTAGCGGAGTTGTTAAATAACCTAAGACCACAAGTACTTGTGTCAAAAAATGGTGATTATAAAAATCTGTGTATTGCAGCAATTTGCAATCAAAAGTGTCTCTATGGAGGCAGATGTGTACTTCCCAATGTGTGTTCTTGCCGTACTGGATATACTGGAGCCAAATGTGAAAAGAAAATACAGGTATTTAAATTTTAAAACAGAAAAGAAATATTAGATATTGACATTTGCTATCTACTCAGATAATCTACTTAGTAACTGATACCTATCTGTTAATATTTTATTTCCAAAATAAAAAACATACAAGGACTTACTATTTGCCTTTAAATCTAAACATATTATTTTGTGTCATTGTAGAGTTATCTTATTATACAAAATTTTGATGTGCACTTAAGGAATTTCAATATGTAGATACAACCATCAAATGTTATGGAGTATTTTATGGCACTGGAGCTGAAAGAGAGGAAATATTCTATAATACAGATTTAAGACACCATTAATTTATATGTTCGTCAAATATTATATAAAAAGACAGCTCTCAGGGGCAGTGTGTTAGGGGGCTGAGTGAAAATGTGAAGAGACTAATCAAAACAGTAACAACAAAACTGATAGACACAGACAATGGCATGGTGGTTACCAGAGAGAAAGGGGGGTAAAGGAGGTAGAAGAGTGTAAAGGAGGGATCAGTGTGACAGAAGACTTGACTTTGAGTGCTGAACACATAATACAATATACAGATGATGTATTATAGAATTGTATACCTGAAAAACCTATGTAATTGTATTAACCAATGTCCCTCTGATTCAATAAAAATTTTTAAAAAAAACCACATATGACCACCCTCACTCCTCTCAAAAAATCTACCACTTTTAAATCAATCAATCACTATTCATTGATATGAGGGTGGCCCTAAACATTTTCAGTGGATCATGTGCCACTAATGACTTGTCAATCCTTACTCTTTTCCCTGACAGTTCTTTCTCTTTATTCGCTCCCTATTAAAATCCTTTTCAGGAAAAGCAATAAAAAACCTCTTTGCATCACAAAAATTAGGATTTATTTGTATCTCAGAAATCAAGAAAGCCAAAGAAGAATAGAAGCTTTCTTAGAGTTTCTGAAATTGCCCCACCCTTACTTATAAGGCCAGTGCTATATAAATATCTATTTTAACATTTTCTGTGATTATATCTATAAGGTTAAGCTTCATTTTGTTTGGTCCCCAGTCTTAACTTTCTAAATATTAACAGCTGAGATTAATTTTTCAGTCCTAATTGCTACACATACCAGGGTGACTCTAAATGAGTACAACAAAAATTGCGGCATAACTCTCAAAAATTGCTTAAAGTTCTGAATGTATTGGTTTTCATTTTAAAAGTAATTATATTCTATTTAACACTTCAAAAAGCTAAAAGGTTATAAAGTATGCTGGTGTACTAGAAGTTGAAAAATAATAAGCGCCTTTCTTTTTTGTTGGTTTTTTTTGATCCTCACTGGAGGATGTTTTTTCCATTGCATTTTA